ATCTGCTTGTGCCGCTAGGCGTCGCAGTCTATCAGATGATCGGCAACCGAGCAAGGCGCGCTCAGTCGCTTCATATGCCGTGATGTTATGAAGTCTCAAGTTGTCCGTGACTCCTTCAATCCATCTTCTTCTTGGTCTTCCCCTGCCTCTTGGTGTTTCAATTTTCATGTTGTATGCTCTTGATGCTGGCATCGTTGGTTCCATTCTCACTAGGTGACCAAACCATTTCATTCTTTGCTTCCCCCCTGAAATATTAGACTGTCCCTGACCTGTGGATTTCCGCTGTTTGGGGTAGGATATTAATAAAGCACCGACCTCTCTCATCAAAGTTCGTTTTATGGTTTCTTGTGGGCATCCTCGCTTCTTCAAACTTTTTTCTTTTCCATTTCAGTGCCTGTCTGGTGAGTCTCTACTCGTTTCCTCTCAAGATGTGTCCAATACAGCGCCATCTTCTTTGTCTTTTAAGTGTTGTTACCAGTGGTTGGCCAGACATTTCTCTTGTTAACATCTATAAGTAAAGTAAAGGACCCTTTTCCACGCCTTTCAGGCATATTGGATACATAGGACTAGACTTGTATTTTAGAGACCAACGGCATAAGATGGGTGATGTGGTCAGCATCACGCCGGCCGCCTTTACTTCCCAGGACTGCACCCGGTACCCATTCAAGACTGGGTCAACCTGGAAGCCAAGGTCAGTTTTAAAAAAAAGTCCAGTTCCGCCAGGAAGCAAACCCACGGCCTTCCGATCCGCAGGCGACTCCCTTGTTTACATCTATGTCTAGCATTATCACAAAGAGGACAAATTCTAAAAACGTTTCGGTTGCATAACACTTTTATCCGAAACGGATTTTCAACAAAGTTAAAGATCAACAACTTTAAGAAGTGAATGGGGTAGAAAAAGCATCTTTTATGTCGTCTAATCCTACTGAAGCCCGACTCTCTAGCGTAGTTGGCTAAACCGGACTGCGCGGTGACCGGGTGACGAACTCCTAGTGGTCCGGGTTTACGCCCGGGGGTAGGCAGAAAAGCCACATTTATCCCAGATTTACGGTATTTATCATGGAATCAAGGCCGACTGAAATATTTCAGAAGCATGTATTCTGTTTATTCAAGTTAACCGTAGATCATAGTTGTGATATCTTTTTCTATATTTTGTATTTACAGGTAAAGACCATATTTCAGAAAGCGATGTATTCGTCTTGCCGTTGGATATTGTAGCATTTGATACACACAAACCAGCAGTGCAGACAGTTCTGCAAAAGTTCAATCAGGTTGGTGTGTAGCAATGAACATTATTAATATAATTCAAACTACTGCGAAAGAATGCCTTCGTATCTAAACCATAAACAGAAAAAGCAAATAGTTCGATTTTTTTTTTTAAAGGTAAAGAAGCAGTGACTAAGGAAAACAAATTGCCGGGTAGATGTGGATAAAGAATACTAGCACTATGCTAAATAAAATAAAAAATATTTAGAACACAATATAAAGAAGTTACAGAAATATAGTACGTTCACGAATTCGTGCTGATGTTCAAAGAATTATTTCTCAGCTGTACATAAAACGATAAAATTATGTATTAATATTTACTTCCTTCTCAACATTATCTCATTTTTGCCGTCGTAACAAGTAATAAGAATTCATTTTTGCTTACTCGAGGTACATAACTATACAAAGATCCTGGCTGGATGGCATTTTAAGAGTTAATCTTAGTCTTAGTCGGTTTCAACATCAAAGCAATCGGGTTTTCCTGAAACTTGCTCCGTTTCTGTGCCAGTGCAAATCAAATGAAATGTACCTCACTGTCACATACGAAAAACTGGTGAATAAGCAACTAGACCCTGAACAATCCAGAAATATGTGCACGCAGTAAATGCGTATTTCAGTTGCTAGAGGCGCCAAAACCAACGATCACCGCCAGAAATTAAGTTTGTCATTGATGGAAAAAGTCGAGCACGATATGCTGGTTACTATACACATGTAGAATTATTGCATAAGGTATATCACAAACTCACACGAAAACCTGCTACCTGCCATACTGAGACACAACCGCTGCACAAATTAAAGGCATTCCACAGGAAAAACGCAGCTCACAGGGCTGCAACCAAGCACTAAACTCAGGAACTCTGGCAGCGACACCGTGGACTACCGTCCTTATGTTTCATCTACACCAGTGATTCCAAAACTGTGCGCTGCGGTGCCACGGGGATCCGCGACCTCTTCACAGGAGCGTTGCGAAATATCGTAAAAGCTTCATAAATAATTCAACCAAGACACAAAAAGTCATACTTTTACTTAGATTAGGTCGCCGTAGAAAATTTTTCATTGAAAAAAGTAGCCGCGACCAAAAAAGAGTTTGGGAAACACTTATCTACACCATTTATGGAAATTTTTTTGGTTTTCCTTTTGCCCTCCTCCCAGATCTTCAACCGTAAAAGGTCTCATATGCAGTCTAATAAAGAATACCCTGTAAGTGCTTTAACAAATTAATAATTATTATTATGCAACGTGCTGACAAGCCTGGACACAAATAATTCAGCATTTTAGATGATCATTAGAATTGCAGTCTAGGTACTAACAAAGGAATGTTTTATATATTTTTTTATTTTTTTAACAGGTAAACAGTGGTACCCAATACTGCACCTTTTTTTTTTTTTTAAAGACATCATTGTTCAGCACTGCATCACTTTGTGAACATCAGCATTTTTAGGCACGTTGTGGTTAACGCGGCACCTGTTTTTTCTTGAGAGAAAAATATTCATGCCCCCCCCCCCCCCCCCCTTCCCCCCCCCCCTCCCCCTTAAGTAATATGGCTTGACTGGCACCTTTCCATTATTCCAGACGATAGTGTTACACTGCCCTATGAGGAGGCATACGACTCACAGCCTATCACGATGGCGAGTGTGACAGCAAGACCCGCCCGTGTTAAGAAAAGTTTTTCACAATGATAGCATGGGATTTCAGGACCGTTGTTATCAACATTTGTGTTTAATCTGTGTCTTCTCAGTCGCTCAACTCTCATCCTTTCTGCAGTCATGTCTTCCTTCAGTCTCATCCCATTCCTGAAGTTCCCTTTCCACACAACACAACCCATGGCATTTTGTGTCCCACTCGTCCACCTCAATACCTGTATCATTCATGCCCCGCATGCACACATCTTTGTATCGATCACACATGAATTAACTAATTACTTACTGTCATTTTCAGATTGATATTCTAATCAACAATGCTGGCCGAGGGCAGCAGGCGGTGTGGATGGACGTGGAGTTAAGCGTTGATCGCCAGATGTTTGAGATCAATGTTCTGGGACCTGTCTCGCTGACACAGCAGGTGCTCCCACACATGATACAGCGTCATAGAGGCCATATTATTGTTGTGAGCAGCGTCGCGGGAAAAATTGGCAAGTGATTGGAACAATTTACTTCTAAGTAATCCTTGAACTGTTAAGATTGTGACTGACTTGTGTTTTATGGTATACGCAACACCCAAGTCGTAGAACCAGGCCAAAGTCTAGAAGTGGATAAACAAACGAGATTTTTCCGCTGGACTATGCAGCCGGTGAACGCAAAAGAGGAGGAAGAAGATTGTGGTGATGTATACATTGGGAAGTAAAGTAATTGACCTTAATCCACGCATTCAGGTGTATTGGTCATACATGGCAAACTTACGTTTTATAGACCAATCGGCACTCGGTGGCTGATGTGGTTAGCATCAAGCCGATTAAAGAATGTACAGGGGATTGAACCCGGATCCTCTTGCACGCAACCCCCTCTTGTAAGTAGATAAAGGTGAAGTCGGGAGATTTGAACCAGCGTCATTTGCACACGGTAATAAACCATAAGTGCTCTGCCACCAGTACGGACAGCTGATATGAAACTGTCCGCCTGTGTCGTCGTCCGCACCTAATTCCGTAGCTACAGCTACGTTCCTCCATTTACCCCAGAGTGTCAACTCTGGTACCCATTTCCTAGAGGTTGCGTGAACCCTGGGAACCGCCCGGTTTCGAACACCGACCATGGGCTGCAGCGAGTCACAGCTGAATTTGAAAGCGAGAAAGAATTTGATTACTTAAAAAGTGAGTCTTTAGTCGAGATTATCCCTCCACGAATAATAAGAGTAATGAAGACGCATTGAGAGACGCGACTCGTGAGCTCTGTGCTGATCTTCTTTGGACTCAAACCTGAGTTCGAAGAAGAACGGAGCACTTATTGGTTACACCCGTGTGTCATGATGTTGATCCGTTGTTCAAAACCTCAAAACTTGAAGAGAACTAACATCAGAAGGAGGCAGTCTGCATTCTTTTTTTTTTTTTTTTTTTTATCTCATCAGAAAGAGAAAACTAGTAAATCGTGTCGGTGGGAAAGTTTGAAGTCGGAAGTCACAAAGGGCGGATTCGTAATGCAGTGGATACCATCTTATTGTGGAGTGCCAGGAAATGAGAAAGCTGATCAACTGGCAGGGAAAGGTGCGACAAAAGAGCAGCCGGATGTACCAGAAGAACAAAGGGCGGACGAAAGGGAAGAGTTAGACAGTTTGGCTACGACCAACTCCAGCTGACGGGCCGTGCTGCTGTCGTCACCGGGCCGGGCAAACGATGCGTTAATGCAGCGGCTACCATCTCATTGTGGAGTGCCAGGAAATGAGAAAGCTGATCAACTGGCAGGGAAAGGTGCGACAAAAGAGCAGCCAGATGTACCAGAAGAACAAAGGGCGGACGAAAGGGAAGAGATTAGACAGTTTGGCTACGACCAACTCCAGCTGACGGGCCGTGCTGCTGTCGTCACCGGGCCGGGCAAACGATGCGTTAATGCAGCGGCTACCATCTCATTGTGGAGTGCCAGGAAATGAGAAAGCTGATCAACTGGCAGGGAAAGGTGCGACAAAAGAGCAGCCAGATGTACCAGAAGAACAAAGGGCGGACGAAAGGGAAGAGATTAGACAGTTTGGCTACGACCCAACTCCAGCTGACGGGCCGTGCTGCTGTCGTCACCGGGCCGGGCAAACGATGCGTTAATGCAGCGGCTACCATCTCATTGTGGAGTGCCAGGAAATGAGAAAGCTGATCAACTGGCAGGGAAAGGTGCGACAAAAGAGCAGCCAGATGTACCAGAAGAACAAAGGGCGGACGAAAGGGAAGAGATTAGACAGTTTGGCTACGACCAACTCCAGCTGACGGGCCGTGCTGCTGTCGTCACCGGGCCGGGCAAACGATGCGTTAATGCAGCGGCTCTCAAACAAAAAATAAACTATTTTCGACAGTGGCGGGAAATATTTTTTTTAATGTTACTGTCAGTTTTGTTTTATTTAGATGAAATAGAATTTATTTTATGGTCTATCATTGTTTATATTTAAAATTACATATATAGTGGCAGCACTGCCGCCTTTAAACATCTGCCCATTGGTTATTTGCTTAAGTTTAGGGGCGCCATTCTAACCTGTGTGTGTCCGATAACTGAAATCTTGTAAGTGCTTAGAGCGTCAGGGGGTCTGTATGCATTTCTCTCTTTCTCTCTGTCTTTATCTTACACTCTATGTCTCTCTCTCTTGCTCTCTTTTACACTCTGTCTCACTCTCTTTCTCTCTCTCTTGCTCTCTTTTACACTCTGTCTCACTCTATCTCTCTCTCTCTTGCTCTCTCTTACACTCTCTGTCTCACTCTCTTTCTCTCTCTCTTGCTCTCTTTTACACTCTGTCTCACTCTATCTCTCTCTCTCTCTTGCTCTCTTTTACACTCTGTCTCACTCTATCTCTCTCTCTCTTGCTCTCTTTTACACTCTGTCTCACTCTATCTCTCTCTCTCTTGCTCTCTCTTACACTCTCTGTCTCACTCTCTTTCTCTCTCTCTTGCTCTCTTTTACACTCTGTCTCACTCTATCTCTCTCTCTCTTGCTCTCTCTTACACTCTCTGTCTCACTCTCTCTCTCTCTCTCTCTTGCTCTCTCTTACACTCTGTCTCACTCTCTCTCTCTCTCTTGCTCTCCCGCACACTCTCTGTCTCGCGCTCTCTCTCTCTCTTGCTCTCGCTTACACTCTCTGTCTCTCCGTCTGTCTCGACACTCTCTTTCTCTCTCTCTTGCTCTCTCTTACACTCTATGTCTCACTCTCTCTCTCTCTTTCTCTTGCTCTCCCTCACACTCTCTGTCTCGCACTCTCTCTCTCTTGCTCTTGCTTACACTCTCTGTCTCTCTCTGTCTCTCTCTGTCTGTCTCGCCTCTCTCTTTCTCTCTCTCTCTCTCTCTCTCTCTCTCTCTCTCTCTCTCTCTCTCACACACACATCGAGAATTTAAACTGTTATTATAAAATGATTCTTTCAGGGATATACAAGTGTCGCATTTTTAAATATTCAGAAAGGTCTAACGATTTTGACTTACCTTTGTACACTCCACTCATGGGTACCTTTGCAGCTAGTGTGATGTCTAGGCTACTGTGATACCTTCTGATTCATGCCTAAAGCCACAGCTGTAATTGCTGCAACGATCATATTTTTAGGAGGCGGATGTTCCTTATCATCTCAACACCTGTTTAAGCCTCAAAGCAAGATAGCCGTCTCTGTGTGTGATGCGATTTTTCGTTATTTGAAGCTCCACTCTGGCTTTTGCCGGGTTCTCTGAATATAGCCGGGCCGTAAATATGGCCTAACGGCTGAAAGTAGTTTCTGGGACCTCTCCGTGGGTGATCCTCATCCGTAAAGTGGCATTTTGTGTCACCGGTTGTTTATCGCTTGTATGATCTTCTGGTGGGGTACATCAAGAGAGAGAGAGAGAGAGAGAGAGAGAGAGAGAGAGAGAGAGAGAGAGAGAGAGAGAGAGCGAGCAAGATCGTAACTATACGTTAGGGGGATATACTGAGAGAATCCGATCACTTGATCTCAATCTTCTTTTACCTCACCATGACATCACACAAGCGATAAACACCCGATGGCACAAAGTGCCACCATGTGGATGAGGATCACCCGTGGAGAGGTTCCAGAAACCGCGTACAGCAATAAGACCATATTTATGGTCGGGCTATATTGCGGCCCCTGACAAGAGTCATGGTGGGACTTCAAAACAAAAACAAACAAAAAACAAACAAAAAAATAGCATCCCACAAGGCAATGAGAAGTTCTATTTCGCAAGATCGTAACTATACGCTGGGAGATGTACTGAGAGAATCCGACCACTTGAAGTGAAGACTAGTGGTTCAATGTACAATGAGGATGGTGTGTCGGCTAACTATGTATTTTCTCTGCTGATGGTGGTTAAGGACTTATGGGAAAGCGTGCACAATTCATAATAGCAAATTGATCATCACAGTCTGGTGATAGTAACGCTGTAGGAGTGACGAGGGGGTTCTGGCCGATACTCGACGCTCAGAAGAAAGGCAAGACGGACATAAAATCAGTCTGCTACTGGCACAAAAGGTATTCAAACGCTGCAATGGCTGCTGAAGATGGGGACGGGACGCTTATGTGAGTGTCCCTAGCGTTGTGATTTCAGTTATTGAATCAACGCAGCTCAACTC